CCCAGGGAAGGCGAGAGAGAGTGTCAGACTCTTACTGACTAAACCCCCCCCCCCCGTTCCTTCTCCAGCTTTAGGCCGAAGACGCGGTGTCACATTGAGCTTAACCCGCATACCCGGCTGAACATCAGTCCTATAGGGCCCCGTCTGTGGTGGTCTATTGACTCGTTCAAGGCCCCGAAAAGGATAGACCTAATGACTCTATGGTTTCGCAGGGTTTCGCCTCGTTTTGTCTCTGTACCGCCCTCTGTCGCACTCTAATGCCAAAGAAAAAAGTAATTTGTGATGACTAGTTATGTTACATTTTTGTATATTAAAGGGTGTCTATTTTGGCCTCCATCACCTGTGGTTGGCGGATGAGAATCTGTATGCTCTGTTTTTTCCTTGGGGAATATATCAAGGTAAACAAAGACAATTTTAAAACGTTCCTCAATAATTACGCAATGGAAACAAAGTAAATAAATTGATTTCGTAATAAATAAAAGGCGTCCAGCCATTTGTAGACACTAAAAGCAGTTTTCTAACTAGAAACCATTCTAGTTTTTATTTAAAAACGACTAACGAAAGAACCAACTTTTATTTGCGGGTGGACAAATTCGGAACTAAAATCTCCAATACAAAAGTTACATTTTGACGAAGACAGTAGCGTCATTGTTAAGTGTAAAGTTAACTTTGTCGTTTTAAAGGCGCGCAATGTCTAATCAGAGACAAAAAGGTCTATGATTACTTGAGATCTATGGTCTAATGGCGGCTTCGCGTCCATTGCGAAATACCGGTAAGGATGCAACGACAGTTTTTTATTAAACTATTTTCTATGGAGTACAGAGAATATGGAGTAATCGCATTGATAAATATGGGAGAACGATGTCTAGTCACAAACGGGCCAGCTCGACCTTAGTGATGCCACGGCCTCACAGAAAACTGGCGTGAGTTTTTTTTATGTAATAAGTCGGCAAACGACCAGACGGATTACCTGATGGTAAGCAATCAGCGCCGCCCATGGACACCCGCAACGGAGGAGTTACGAGTGCGTTGCCGACATTTTAGAGATTAGGGATTTGGAGATTTAGGGATTGGGGAAGGGTCCGGGAAGGGGAAGGATTGGGCTTCCGGTAACCTCACTCACACGGCGAAACACAACGCTGTGGTTGTTTCACGTCGGTATTCTGTGAGGCCGTGGTATCACTCCGGTCGAGCCGACCCATTCGTGCCGAAGCATGGCTCTCCCACACTTAAAGTTTTGATTCGAAGTAACATTAAAGTTTTGCTTCGTCGTGAGAGTGAGGTTACCGGAGGCCTTATCCTTTCCACATTAGCCTTAATACTCAACCGCGGCCGCGGCCCAGAGCAGGAGAAGGAACGGGGGGGGGGAGGGGTTTAAGCCTGTAAAAGTCTGACACTCTCTCTCGCCTAACTCTGGGCGGGAGAAGTCATTTGATGATTTCCCCTGACAGGAAAAAAAGCCTTAATCCTCAAATCTCCTATCCTTAAATCCCAAATAACTCACAAAGGCCATCAACGCACTTGTAGTAATTCCTTTGGTATCCTTGGATGGCGCTGATTGAATAACATCAGGCCCCCGTGCTATCAAATACTAAAGCCATCTGGGTGAACATCATAATATTAACGCTATCTAGTGACAATAAAAAATAACTCTAGTTTTCATTCTCACACAAAGATGGCGCTCCATGCTTCTATAAGCTATGTGTGTATTTTCTAATACGGAATAACTAGTTTGTTTTTTAATTGTATAATGTTTTATGCTTATTAAGTGTTCTCTTAGTAATAGATGGTATATTAATGACAGAAAATTATACTTTACAATCGCAGAGCACGAATGGGTCGGCTCGACCGGAATGATTTCACGGCCTCACAGAAAACCGGCGTGGAACAACCACAGCGTTGTACATTGAGCCTGCAAATGGGGTTACCTAAGGTATAAGCCTCTGTTTTTTTTTCTTTTTTTACTTTATATAAACTAGTGCTTGACTGCGATCCCACCTGATGGTAAGCAGTGATGCAATCACTGATGGTAAGGCGCACTAGTTTATTAAGAGCCTTTTCACTCTAGCCTCCTTAGCTCTCTAGCTTCTTTCCCCCAATCCCTAAATCTCCCAAATCCCTAATCTCCAAAAAATCGGCAAACCACTCGTAACTCCTCCGTTGTTGTGTCGTCCGTCGTCTTGCATGGGTGTCCATGGGCGGCGATGATTGCTTACCATCAGGTAATCTGTCCGCTTGTTGACCGTACTATCACATACTCGTACAAAAAAAGAATATCTATTAAATAGATTTGGTTTACTTGGTGACTTGGACCTGGTCCAAAGCTTGACTGGTTGAGAATGCTCGCCTTATGAACAGTGTTTGTGTGCATGAAATAAATAAATATATATTTTTTTATCAGAATAGCACCCGTGCAAAGCTGAGGCTTGTCGCTAGTCCAAACAAAATATAATAAATGCGAAAGTAACTCTGTCTGTCTGTCTGTCTGTCTATCTCTTCACGCCTAAACTTCTATGAAATATGGTACAGACATAGTTTGGAACTCGAGAAAGGACATAAAATAATTTTTATACCAAAAATCTCCAGGAAGTTACTATTCCACGCGAACGGAGTCGCGGGCAAAAGTTAGTATACTTAATATAAATTTAAAAGTATAACCGACCATTAATAGAACATAACCTAACATTGTTGACATTGACATTTAACTTTCCCGCGAAACTTAAATGGACATAGACAACAAAGCTTTTTACCAACTAGCACAAGGAAACGATACATTCAGCCTGTTACATCCTTCTGAGTATGATGTGTGATAGATAAGGACAGAAGGACAATAAGAATTAATCACCATATTTACTGTTGATTAGTAAGTATTTACCTTTAATTCAATTCACAAAAATGTCACAAACAGTGTCGAAACTTTTTGAAGTGACTTTTCCCGAGTTATATGCATGTACTTTCTATGATTATTTAGACACAACTGACATACGGTGAAGGAGAATATCGTGTAAAAATTTCTGGTACGCGTGGCCAAAGTCAAAGTGAAAATCATTTATTTCAATTAGACCACAGTAGGCACTTTTGAACGTCAAGAAAAAAAGGACAAAAGTATTTCAAGAGCATTAACTTTAAACGTGTCAGTCAGTCCTCTAGTGAAGCTATTTGCTCGTTCTAAAGTGTAGATTTAAAGTCAAAATCATTTATTTCAGTTAGTCCCATACAGGCACTTTTGAACGTCAAACAAAATTTTAAAGATATAAAGTGTCAGGTGGTCGATCAGTCCTCTTAGTGAAGCTATTCGCTCGTTCCAAAGTGAAGATTCCGATGGAGAAGAACGAGCAAGAAACTCCATGGTTACTCTTTTACAATCAGTGTCACATAAAGATTCTTTGATACATTATTTAGTTGGTTTGATTATGCGAGAACAGTGTTATTCTGAAAACAGTGTAATATAGTGATTCTGATGGAGAAGAACTAAAAGATTGAAATTTTGATTGGCATTTTGTCGCTATCTCGCCTGGTGGTAACCGATGATGCGACCTACGATGGAGCACGCTTACCTTTTAGCATAATATTAACACTAGCGTTGAAGCCATACTCTTCGCGTATGACAGAATCTGGCTAAAGAACTCTCTCTTTAGCAGCAAAAAACAGATCATGATCGTCAGATCTTTGAAAAAAGACTGCTAACGGAATGGTGCGTTGATGGAAAGCATCAAAATTGTGTAATCTTACTATAATATGAATAACGCGAAAGTGTGTAAGTACGAATGGATGTTTGTTACTCTCTCACGTAAACACTACTGAACGGATCTGAATGTAATTTGGCACAGAGATAGATTATAGTCTGGAATAATACTTAGATTACTTTTTACCCTAGTACGTGGGAAGTCGCTGGCAGAAATTATTGGTTGTACGAACCGAGAGTCTTTGTAAAGGCTTTTGCGTAAAGTGACCCTTCTGTGTTTACATTTTAAATGGACGAGTTCTAACAGAATCCTCAAATAGGTAACATCCTTCTTCAAGTACACACACAATTCGCTATTTACATAAAGTTTAAGTAAATAATGTTTTCTCGCGAAAACTTAGCGTTCCCAGTCATCCATATTTGTATGTAGCAACACTGGTTTTATTTTTATTTTTGCTGTTAGCAACACTGAGTTGTTTTGCTTGTTTTGTTTTGGTGGTGGGAATTTGTAACTGTTTTTTCTTTCGGTTTAATTAATGTTTACTGCATGTTATATTAGTAGGCAATCGTTGAGACGGATTACCTGATGGTAAGCAAAGCCGCCCATGGACACTTACAATAATGAAACAATGAAACAATGAATTTATTTTTGCAAATAGGCCATAAAACGGCACTTTTACACGTCAATAAAATACCAGATAAAATAAAATAAAATACCATCGGAGTTACCAGTGCGTTGCCGACCTTTTGGAGATTAGGGTTTCGGAGATTAGGGATTGGGGGGTCGGGAGAAGCAGAAAAAGATTGGGCCTTCGTTAACCTCAATCACACGGCGAAACATAATACTGTGGCTGTTTTCAGTGAGGCTGTGGTATCACTCCGGTCGAGCCGAAGCATGGCTCTCCCACACTTAACAAAACTTCAACAATAACACTTAACTCGACCTGGGAATCAAACCCATTCAACATAACATTCCAACCTACCACTTCAAACTAAACAACACAGTTACGTCACGAAATAAAAAAAAATATCAGGGGCCCACAGGTAATAAATACAGTTACGGAATTCTTATAGATCTATTGTCATTTTTTTGCATTGGCAACCCCTCCTACACAAAGGATCACCTGATCTTTATTTATGTATATCATAATGGCAAACTTGTTGAAAATCAAAAGTGTGTAATTTAATATATTTATTTATAAAAGATTAGTGTGGGAGAGCCATGCTTCGGCACGAACGGAGCGATACCACGGCCTCACAGAAAGCCGGCGTGAAACAACCACAGCGTTGTGTTTCGCCGTGTGAGTGAGGTTACCGGAATCGCAATCCTTGTTCCTCCCTCCTAATCTCTAAGTCTCCGCAACCCTTATCCCCAAAAAAAACTTCCCGGCACAATTGGAACTCCTGTTCACCAGGATCTGCAGTAGACACAACCATGAAAACACCGGAACACTGAAGTCCAGCGCGTCCCAGGGACATGAATGACTGTCTTGGATCCTGCAACGAAATAAATCAAAAGAAATCAGTAGAGCACTTGTTTTTTTTTGTCAATCATCCAATGACTTCTCCCGCCCAGGGTAGGGCGAGAGAGAGTGTCAGACTCTTACTGACTAAAAACCCCACCGTTCCTTCTCCTGCTCTAGGCCGAGGTCGCGGTGCCTCATTGCGCTTACCCCGCAACCCCGGCTGAACATCAGCCCTATAGGGCACCGTCTGTGGTGGTCTATTGGCTCTTTGAGGCACGCGCGGAACGCTACGCGCCGTACGCTCGGGTCTGGTTCTGGTCGGGCGGCGAGCTACCCTTACTCGCCGTCCGCAGACCTGCGCTTACGGTGCCGGGAGATCGTCTCTCAATCAAAAAGTCAAAAGTCAAAAATCATTTATTCCAATTAGACCTTTACAGGCACTTTTGAACGTCAAACAAAATTTTGAAGATATAGTGTCAGTCTGTCGGTCAGTCCTCTTAGTGAAGCTATTTGCTCGTTCCAAAGTGTAGATTCCGATGGAGAAGAACGAGCAACAATCTGTACTGGTCTTGTTTCTATCGTGTAGCGGGTGTCCCTGGCGATGATTGCTTGATCGTTTGCCGAACCTAAAAAAAAGGTTTTGCACAAAGGTTCTACCGTTTTCAAAAAAACTCAATGTTAATATTATATTCTTGCTAGGTGGTTTGTATTGTGCGTTGCGGGTTCGATTCCCATGCATTGCATCCGTGTTTTATTGACATGGGATGAATCATTTATCTTCTATTTTTTTCTTCGAAAGCACTTCTGTTTTGTGGGCTTTTTATTTTGTAGAATAAAATTGTGTTATTTTGAGATTATTAATGAGACCAGTGACGACATACGGAGCCGAGACGTGGACACTTACAGTGCGACTGATCCACCAATTTAAAGTCGCGCAACGAGCTATGGAAAGGGCTATGCTTGGAGTCTCTCTGAAGGATGGACTAAAGTGAGGAACTAAAGTTCACATAGCCCAAAGGATTAGCAAATTGAAGTGGCAGTGGGCAGGTCACATCTGTCGAAGAACCGATGACCGCTGGAGTAAACGTGTTCTAGAGTGGAGACCACGTCTAGGCAAACGTAGTGTAGGGCGCCCTCCAGCTAGGTGGATTGACGACATCCGCAGGGTGGCTGGCAGTGGTTGGATGAGAAGAGCTGAACGTCGAGCTCAGTGGCGTGCTATTGGGGAGGCCTATGTCCAGCAGTGGACAACAACAGGCTAATGATGAGATTATTAAGTGAAAAACAATGGTAGAATATTTTGTCCTTAATTGGACTCTTTTTCGTGTAGAAAATCAGCAGAAATGACCTCTATCATCTAAGCAAGAGGGGTTTTAATGCGTTGCGTAACTTTTGGATTGTCTCCTGTGTCGTGGGTGCGTTTACAAAAATACAATTTCACATACACATCACACCCAGACTCACGGAACAACAATTGGTGGATCACACCATAATAATCCATGCTTCGGCACGAATGGGTCGCCTCGACCGGAGTGATACCACGGCCTCACAGAAAACCGGCGTGAAACAACCACAGTGTTGTGTTTCGCCGTGTGAGTGAGGTTACCGGAGGCCCAATCCTTCCCTTCCCCCAATCCCTCCTATTTCAATTCAAATTTTGGGAGGTTTAGGGAATATGAATCCCCAAAAGGTCGGCAACGCACTCGTAACTCCTCCGATGTTGCGGGTGTCCATGACCGGCGCCAATTGCTCACCATCAGGTAATCCGTCTGCTCGTTTTCCTATTTATCCTATGCAATGTTAAATTTCTGTCGGGTATGTGGCACCCACTATAAGAGCAGGGGTGGTAATACACAAAGTAAGTTACTTCCTGTGTTTACTTTAAATAAAAAATATGAAGTAATTTATTTCAAATTTTAAAGATAATATGGAGTTTCAGTCCTCTTAGTGAAGCTATTTGCTCGTTCCAAAGTGTAGATTCCGATGGAGAAGAACGAGCAAGAAACTCCATGGTTACTCTTTTTAAATCAGTTTCACATACAGATTCCTTTTACAAACAGTTGGTTCACTTATGTGAGAACAGTGTAACACTAATATTTATTCAAATATAAAAATAAAGTAACCTTAAGGACAAAAGACAGTCCGGAGCTGACCAGTCCCAACTGACGGCACTCGTTCACGAGCATGACACGTACACCACATTTTTTTTATGTAATAAGTCGGCAAAAGAGCAGACGGATTACCTGATGGTAAGCAATCAGCGCCGTCCATGGACACCTGCAATGGAGGAGTTTCGAGTGCGTTGCCGACCTTTTAGGGATTAGGGATTTGGAGATTTAGAGATTGAGGAGGGATTGGGGGAGGGGAAGGATTGGGCCTCCGGTAACCTCACTCACACAGCGAAACACAACGCTGTGGTTGTTTCACGCCGGTTTGCTGTGAGGCCGTGGTATCACTCCGGTCGAGCCGACCCATTCGTGCCGAAGCATGGCTCTCCCACACTTCATCGTTCAACTCAACCATATTATAGGGAATTGAGCGATTCAGTGCCAGTGCCACTTATATTCTGTACTTTAATTGATCAACCACGCACACCCAGGATATCTATTCATAGCTTACAAATAATTGTAACAAAAAGGGTATGAGCAGAATTCTCCTAAATACTTGGTGAGCACAAAGAATTAAAAAAAAGTTTGTATACGCATTTACGAAATGAAATCCACTATTATAAGCCTTTTCTGTGTTCTCAATAAGACAGCAATTCAAAGTATACGTAAAAACTGCTTATTAACATACAATTATCATCCTTATTTTTATAGTCAAAGCATTGAAAATCGATCAAGTACACGACGCATGACAAACTATACCATTGTTTAATCGATAATCATTCTTAAACGCAAAGCAATAAGGTCGAAAACATCTCTTATTTCAAGTATACTCTGCTGTGTTTTCTGGGAATTCAACAAACAACACTTCAAAGTATAATAATTCGAAACTACATACATACAATTTTGATCCTTATTCCTATTAAAATAACATCACAAATCAATCAAATACACGCCGCACATCAAAATATACCACTGTTTAATCGATAATCATTCTTAATACTGAAGCAGTAAGGTAGAAAACATCCCTCAGCTCAAGTATACTATGTCAATACAGCTTTATAGTAGAGCAAACAGCTTCTGTAAAAACCAGTTTACATTGGACTCGCTGTGTGTGAGTTCGCCACACATTGAAAGGTCAGCGTATACTGGATTTTTGCTATCAATGAAATTTTGTGTAATTTTGTCAATGAAAGGTATGTTAGGAATTCGCATAACATTGAGATTATCCGCCATTATTTGAAAGAAGTAGTAATAGCGTATTTTTACGTGAGAGAGCCATGCTTCGGCACGAATGGGTCGTCTCGACCGAAATGATACCACGGCGTCACAGAAAACCGGCGTAAAACAACTCAAGCGTCGAGATTGCCTTTTTTTGTCAGGAGAAAATAATCAAATTATTCTCTCGCCGAGGGTAAGGCGAGAGACAGTGTCAGACTCTTACTGACTAAAAACTCCCCCGTTCCTTCTCCTGCTCTAGGCCGAGGTCGCGGTGCCTCATTGCGCTTACCCCGCAACCCCGGCTGAACATCAGCCGTATCCCGTCTGTGGTGGTCTATTGGCTCTTTGATCCGCGAGCGGAACCTCCAGACCTCGGATAACTCAGCGAAACACAACGCTGTCGGAAGTACGACGCCAATGAACTGTGAGGCCGTGGTATCACTCCGGTCAAGCCGACACAGCCGTGGTTTCAAGGCAACGGTTAGCAGATCTCAGCTGATCATAGCGTGGACATTTCTTAAACACAAACGAACTTTTGGGCACCGGGCCTGAGACTAAACTGAGTACGGAGTGATACCACGGTCTCACAGAAAATCGGCGTGAAGCAACATTTACGTTGTGTTTCGCAACGCACTCGTAACTCCTTTGGTGTTGCGGGTGTCCATAAACGGAGCTGAAATATCCTATAAAAATTGGTATACTGTACATATTTGTTAAGAATTTGGATCTAACATTAAGAGTCATCATCATCATCAGCCTATAAGCGCCCACTGCTGAGCAAAGGCCTCTTCTCACACGGAGAAGGTTTGAGCATTAATCGCCACGCTTGCTCAATGCGGATTGGCGATTACAAACTTATATTACACGTGTTTGTTTGTGTGACTAGCTATTCCCGCGCGGTTTCACTCGCTGCTCTGCACCATTTCATCGTAGCGTGATGTTTTATAGCCTATAGCACTCAGGAACATTGTAGCCATCTATCAGTGAATATCAGTGAATTTTGGCAATCCGACCAGCGGTTCCAAAGATTACCCCCTACATACAAACTTACAAATTTTACCTCTTTACAATATTAGTATAGATAGTTTAAACAAACACAGCGCCTGCCTGTATTGTGATAGCAATGCGTTGCTGTATTGTTATAAGCGCCTACAATAATTGTCATAGCAATGATGTAAAATGAATTAAAACCTCAAATTTCCAAATGATCGTCAACGAACTCGTAACTCCATTGTTGTTTCGGGTGTCCTCGGACGGCGCTGATTGCTTTCCATCAGGTAATACGTCTGTTCGTCCGTTGTCGTAAGTACAGCGCCATCTCTTAGAGTATTGGGTTACTAATTTATATGTATAAACTATAGACGGGTAAGTTTCTGAGGGTAATTTTGGATTGCGTAAACCGATTTTAATTTATACTGGATATTATTATTCACTAGCTTTTGCCCCCGATTCCATCCGCGTGGAATAGTGACTTCCTGCAGATTTTTAGTATATAAACTATCCTATGTCATTTCTCGAGTTCCAAACTATGTCTGTACCAAATTTCACAGAAATCGGTTCAGTAGTGTAGGCGTGAAGAAAAGACAGACAGACAGACAGAAAGAGTGACTTACGCTTTTATAATAAGTATTAGTTTAGATATAAACCTTCCTCTTCAATCACTCTTTCTATAAAAAAACCTGCATCAAGATCCGTTGCGTAGTTTTAAAGATTTAAGCATACATAGGGGATATACGGACAGAGAAAGCGACTTTGTTTTATACTATGTAGTGAAGTGAATGAAAATAACAAATATCTTATCTAATAGATTAATATTCAAAAGCAGCAAAATAACAATATTTATCTTGATTTATAAATAAAACAAAGTATTTGGAGAATCCAAAACTTGATCCAAACTAAAATTATTTAAAGTAGTTTCAGATTCATAATACAGAGGGCGTTAAATATAACTACGAGGGATGAAAATAATGTGGCAAAGCGATTAATAATGTAAATAATGTCTTTATTACATTTTCAACCTCATTTTTCTATATAGAAAGTCGAAATTATATTGAAGTAGGTAATTGGACAGTTTAGTTACCTAACAGTACTAGTACAGTGGTTTCTATTCAATATCTATATAATTAATGTTCAAAGCAACGACTTCGTAGTTTCAGTAGCAGACGTCTTATTAGAAAACAGAGTTCCATATAAATGCATTTTCAAAGAATCTTCCTCGTCACTATAACTTGAAGCCTCTACAATTCTCTTTAAATATTTATTAGTAACTTTTCGAACGTCTTTTAAAAAATATTCGTCAAAATTGTAAAACTTCTTTAGTTGATCAAAATCAATAGTTTCCTTAGAGTGGCGCTGTCGTCGCTTTTTGCCTTCAGCTCTTTGAATGACTTTATTTTCTTTCGTAAATTCTAAATAGTCTTTTTGTTCGTGGAAGTAAGGAAATGGTGTTATATTATGATGTGTGATTTGTAAGGAATTCCCTTCGGTTGGTCTGCGATGTAGATTCAATGTGGAATATTTTGTAGTTCTCTCACGGTCGGGTTTAAAATGATATTTCGAAGATACCACTTTGTAACGTCTCTGTACGTTTGTAATTGAAGCTGATGGATCGAAACTTTTATTAGAGGAGATTTTCTTTTTGAATGTACTCAATTTATTAAACATTTTTGCCACAGTTCTAGGTGAACTCAAAGATGATGAAGTTCTGTTCGTTGTTATAAAATTGGCCTCTTTTACTGCATTATGAATCTGATTAAATTCCACCGCTCTTGCTTTTTTTGAAGTTAAAATTGGTGAAAATAAATGTGCTCTATCATTATTTGGTAATTTCGATGGACGAGTGAACTTCGGAAATCGTTGCTTTGCGAAACTTGTTACATTACTAGTCGTTGTAAATGTAAGATTGATAGGTTGAACCGTAGAGGACTCTTTGAATTCACCTCCACTTGTTTGTCCAGCTTTGGCAGAAGTATCTAAAACGTTTTCAGTTCCCTCAGAAAACGGGAACGAAGGTTTATTGATGTAATCAGGAAAAGGACTTTTAGTGAAAGTAGATTTAGTGGAGTAAAACATTTTCGCGAATGATCCAGCTCTAAGGTTCAGATGTACTGTCTGTTGCATTCTTTTGATATTTCTATCAGTTTCTTCCTCTTTCTTATTTATCCCTCCTTTCTCATTGTTTAATACTATTGCCAGGTCTCTGAAAAATGCATTCACCTTCTGCATGTTTTCCCGGTGCTTTTTCATAAGCACTGCCTCGTTGAAATGATCTGAAAATCAATTTCTTAGTTTTATGCTAGCCTAGAAACTTTGGAACATTTTCACAGCTACAGTCAAATGTTATGTTTAAATTAAAAGATAAGTATTGTACTACTATACAATACTCATATTCAGTAGGTTGAGAAGAATCATATTTTAGGAATATTCAGTTCATAAACAAAATAAAACACTACCTGTTTTACCAGCATCACAGTTAGCTAAACTATAATGTAAGAATAACATTAACATAGTTATACACATGCTTCTATTATCTTCCTTTTTCTTTATTAGAATTTGACAATGTACTTATTAACTGTTTTCATTTTTATAATCAACACAAAGTTTTACGAAAAGGAAACACAAGTCTAAGAAAAAAGAAAGGAACTGTTAAGATTGAGTTTCAAATCAGTAACATTTCCAATGTTTAGTGTCAATAAAATAGTTGTAGTAATTTTATCGAATTGCAAATATAAAAACATTACCTCACGCAATGTATATCAATTTTTATGATACAGAGTAGGATGCAGAGGGAAAGCTGCTGTTTGAAGCACTTCAGGATTTTGAGGCTTATCCTAATGGTATGGTAATAAATAGCAAGTTTTTTCACTCCTAAATAATTCTTGAGTGATGTCCAGTGTATGGCAGTAAGCTTAGCACCCATTACACAGGACTCAAAGCATAACTGGTGAATAAAACAAAGAAAAAGTCCCTATAACAAAACTCAATATATACTGTTTTTATGCCTATTTCAGGAACAAGAACCAGTACAGAAGTATGCCAGAGTCTGGTAGACAGTTTCTTCGCTTTGTACCGTCGTCTGTTGAGGACAGGGAAGAGACACATACTTCTGAATGCCATCAACTATATGCTTAAGATCAGGTTCCCGAAGAGGAACCAAAGCTTAAAGATATAATAGTTCATAAGTACTGTACCACCTTCATTAAAATATTAGTTTCTGACCTTTGCATGTCGTTAGACGTGGCTACTATAATTACTTAATATTAAAAAAGTTTTATTAATTTTGTTACTTTATTTTATACCAAATTAATCGTTTTCAATAATATTTTTATTTTCTTTCTATGCAGGCTATATATATACTATCTAGGCAGATCATTCTAAAGTAAAGATTCCTAACGTAAATAAATAAAAAAATATCGCAACATGGTTGTTGTTCTTCAAGATCCAATCCTTCACCACTACCATCCCCAATTTCCGTATTCCTTATCCTTAAATCACTAACAACCCACAAACGGCTAGCAACGAACTATCAGGTTATAAGCCGAATCGTTTACCAACCTGTCTCAGAAAAAAGTTGCTGGGACATGAAACTCCCACATAATAACATGATACTGAAATATGACGAGGGAAAAGGAATAAGAAGCTCTCCGACAGACGTCATAAATATTTATTTATCCAAGACCATTACCATTACGTGGATGATCGAACGGATCCAACACTAAATAAGTATAATCTGCAGCAGGACGAGTAATGGGAGAGTTATATCTTAAATTAGAACTAGTTGTCGACGCTTTAATTTGACTTGTCATAAACGCATTGATATGTAGCCTTGCTTCTTTTTTACTTATTTCTGTAACGTTTACAGTAGAATTTGATTCAGTATTGATGTCATTTCTCTTGGATTTTCGATGTGCTTGCTTCTAATAACAGGTTCTATTTGATTAGTTTTGTCAGATTCATCATTCGCTCGCTCGTATTTTTTTCATTGTCCGAATGGACTTCGTCAAATCCTTCTGTAACTAAAGTTTCGTAACGTTGTGTATAAACGTGACGTAGTTTCTCCTGGAAATACTCTATGGAATTTGAAGACGAGTCTAAAACATCTTCTGATCCCATATGTAAATCGACTTCTTTCTGCTTTAAGTCCACCTTCTCTCGTTTCTTAGCATTTGCTTTCATACTAAATGCTTCTTTCAAATCATTACTGGATACTCTAGGTTCAGATGTTACGTGTGCAGGCCTGAATTCATGTACAGGGAATGTTATCACATTCTCTGATGCATTGAAGTTATTAGTAGAAGACGGAATATAATTCTTTCAATGCTATTTTAGCGTTCACATGTAAGTTTGTATAGTAATCGAATATTAAAGTTCTTAGACCATCTTTTACAACGTGCGCCAGATTAGTTTCTAGTCTTCTAACTTTGGGCTTGCTGTAATATTATATAATAATACTATCAGCCTGTCCCCGCTTTGTACTGCTGTGTTTCGTATGAATTAACTAATTCACCGTTTCAGAAGTAAAAAAGATCTCTCATAGATTCGTTTCAGATACTGACGCCTCACCAGAGTTACATTTGAGAACAGAACAGGACTATTACCGACAGCTGGAAGACTACAATGAAGGGTATCTAGTGGTCTTCATGATGGAGCTGGCCAGTCTAGTCGCTGTCAAAGTTTTAGCTGACGTTCGCAGCATATTACGACATACGGATTCTATACTATTTGAGTAAGCTGTAATGTAGCATCTATTACCGGTGCCTCGATTAAGTCATAAATCAAAAAAAGTAGAAACATGTGTTCATTTTTTTCATTTTGAGAAAAGATCAAGTTACCTTACCTATATTCTCAATATTCTTTCAGAACGTTAAAATCAGGAAAGCTTGGTCGTTTGGGATACCCAGTAACGCACGTACTTTTAAAGTTTGGAGTTTTTGTCTCCGATGAACCTATTGCAGTTGTCAGAAGTAAGTAGAGTTATGGTATAATGTTATTATTTGTATCTAGGGTGCATTATGTGAAGCACTATTTGCTTGTTGCGTTTTGAGCCTCATGTGACAGAAACTCTTGTTATAAGTTCAGGTTGTGTAAAATTCATGTTTCTACGAATGAGCATTCTCCGCCGGATGGCACGAAACAACGCTTGCATTGTGTTTCTGTGTGTGGGTGATATTATTAACGGCCTGATACTTCTCTTCCCTCCAATTTCATGTCCCTAAGTCAAAAGTCAAACTGACTTGGCACGGTCATAATATTGATCTCTCTAAACTTTTCTCTAAGAGACTCACGACGCTTTAGGTTGTAAATAGCTTTGATGGCAAGCTTTTGCAAGACAAAGATAGACTCAATGTCAGCAGCATGTCCCCACAACAAGATGCCATACGACATAATGCTATGAAAGTAGCTGAAGTACACCAGTCTTGCAGTGTCCACATCTCTTAGCTGCCGGATCTTCCAGACAGCAAATGCTGCAGAGCTCAACCGTCCTGCCAGAGATGTGATATGGGGCCCCCATTGTAGTTTGTCATCTATGGTTATACCCAGAAACGTAGTTTGTTTTACAAATTCCAATTTCTTACCGTTTAATAATATTTCACATTCGTTACTTTTAAAATTTGGCAAACTGAATCGCATACACTTTGTCTTTTGGTCGTTTAGGACTAAATTATTAACTGTAAACCAATTCTTAACCTTCGTAATAGCATTATTTACGTCGTCATAATTATCTGTCCTTCAATTTATTTAAAAATCAACAATGTGTCATCAGCAAATAATACTCAATAAGTCTTTAAATCCCAAAAAAAATTGTAACGTTGTAAACCTTAGATTTGGGACCTACCTTAATTCAGTTGATATTCATTCCGTTTAGCATTCCAAATAGCATAATTGGATGTAATTTTATTTGTTTAAATTCACAATAATGTTGTTTGTTGTTTTTGCAAAGTGTCAAACCTCACATCAAAGTGACGTTACGCTTGTCGTGAAATGTCAACGTCAGTTGTCATTTCACAGATCATAGATTCACCCAATCGATAATAAAATCAATGTGCGGTAGATGAAAGAATTTTGTCAATAATAGCGGGTAATCGTTTTAATTTTATTTATTAATGGATAATCGCCCGCGGACAGTTAGCCTTGAGGTCAGATAATTAAAAAGAAGTAGATATGTGTCTCTGCCTCCTATACTTGTCTATGAAATTCAATTTTCTTATAAGGCGGGTTGGAGTAGAATCTTTCCTTTCTTCTGGAATCCAGATCGCCGACCTACAAACGTACTGTGTTGCATAATTTTCGCAGAAGCCAATTTTGGGCTTAATAATTTAAATTCAGTGTTTCCGTGGTTCCCTGCAAAGGGTAAGTGTTGTTGCACAGACTTATATTTAAATTCGTAAGTCGAGCGTAGTGACTGTAAAATCATGTATTCTTATTTGTAATTTAAATTGTGCCGTTAGTAACGGTTACATTTATATATCATGGGGTTTCTCGTTAAATCTATGTGTTAAATAAGTTATTAGTACCGTGTTCATGATAAAGAAACTAGTATAATTTTCAATTATTAAAACTTATAATTTTCGTGTGAGGGTATATTAATATAATTTTATTCTAGTTCTCGTTCTTATCATGACACGAATCCTGTACCTATTAATTCGGGTTTAATTTCTGTTTATTATTATTATTGTTTTATCATTTTAATTTTCCACCCTTGTAAAAGACCAACCGACCGTAGGGCCCTGTGATAGGATTTGGTCGGTGGTCACCAGGACATTCTGGGACAACGGTGGACTACACCCTACCTGTTTGGCGGTTTCAGGAACCCCGTGTGTAGTGGAAACCTGGAGATGGCGAGCGTCAAGGGCCTGGCCCCGTGCCAGTGCGCTGTGGCCGCCGCGTCGTACCCGGACTGGGATAGCGGCACCGGCATGCGCCTCTTCCTCATGCCTCGCCTTTAGTTAAGTGGCCACCACCAACACCGCCAACCACGTCTCGTTTCTACCCAAATTTTTATTATTGTAAACGCTCATCAGTGACAGTGCCACCAAGTAGGCGTAGAACCCACGCCTTGTGTTTTTTTGTTTTTTGTGTAGTTTTAAACAATAAATTGATATTGTTTAAAAACTTTTGTTGTTTAATTTCTAATTTTAGATTTTTATTTTTTGCTCGGGTTTATCCCGTAGCAAATGGCGCCCACACCGTGGATCTTTTAAATTACTTTGGTGGGCTGTCACTGG